TTCCCTCCTGGACTCTCAGCACCGCCAGCGGTGCCTGGGCAGAGTGACCGGGGCTGAGGTCCTCGCGCGTCACCAGCCATAAGAAGCAGGCAGGACTGGGTCTCTAAATATGGGACATTTTCATGTGGTGCCCTGGTCCATTTTATGGGGGCAATTACTATGACAAAGCGAGTTCAAGGCATATTTTGAGTGCAGAACAGTGTTCTCACGGCAGGTCCCAGAGAGAGGAAGCAGGCCGGGGTGAGCAAGCTTGTCCCTTTGTTGCCTGGCACGTAAAACCGGGCTGGGTGGCTGGTTTTACAAGGTTCAGGTCCCAGGCTGAATATAACCTGCCTGTTTTCCTGTTTCCTGACCGGGCCAAGGCGGGATGCCTCATAGGAAGGTGTAGACTGCACGGCACCGTTCCAGCAACTCCACCCTCTGAGGAAGGGAGGGTTATCCTCCTGGATCCAGATGGCCGTTTAATCCGCGCCCTGAAACGCTGGGGACCTAAACAAGGCCCGCTACCTGAACTCAGGTCATCGATATTGACTCTAAAACCAACACAAGTCAAAACTAAAGCAACTCTGTCCAGACAAACAGAAAACCTTGATAATCCAATCTGGCAACAGGGCTGAAAAGCTAAAAATGATCCAGTGTCTTCATTTCTAGGAGAAAGATGTTCATCACAATGTTATTTAACACAGTGAAAACTGTAACGGCCTATATACCCATCAAATGCACATCACTTATGGCATATAAATGATGGTATATCTGTACTGTGGAAACATATTCTGCTATTAGGAATAACATCTTGGAAAATGTTCATGTCTGTTGTTAAAGAAAAAAAAATTGTAGTACAATGTGATCCCATTTCTGAAAACTTGGGAGGATACATTCCAAAATAATAATTGTAGTTACTTTTTGGTTGTAAGATTATATACACACTTTTCCCCTTATTTTTGTTTCTCTATATCTAATACATTTCTATAAGAAACATATGTTAATTTCATAAAAGTATTTTAAAAATTAATCTAACTTAACCTCTTGGACCTTATTCCTTCACTTGCCAAATGAAAGGGTGGACCAGATGACCCAAGGTTTCCTCTGGCTTTAGCGATGAGAAGAACTCGATGAGAAGAAGGGAAACAACGTCTTGTTGTAGCTCTTGGAAACATAAGAGTAAAAATGTCAGCCAGGAAACTTCATTGAGCCATATGTTGAGCTGATCCAAGTTCTATCCTTCAGAGAGGCCCACACCTATCAGGGAAGAAAGGTGGTGACTCCACTGACAAGAATCTCACCAGAGAGAAGGTTTCACAGCCCTCCTCGGTGAACTCAGAAGGATTTTAGATCACTTATTCTGAAAACTTTTCCACAGCAAAGCAAACCATAAATCCAAGATGAAAAGATAACCCTCAGAATGGGAGAAGACATTTGCAAATGAAGCAACTGACGAAGGATTAATCTCCAAAATATACAAACAGCTCATGCACCTCAATGTCAAAGAAACAAACAACCCAAACCAAAAATGGGCATTAGAGCTCAACAGACATTTCAGCAAAGAAGACATACAGATGGCCAAGAGGCGTGGGAAAAGATGGTCAACATCACTAATCATTAGAGAAATGCAAATCAAAACTACAATGGGGTATCACCTCACACCGGTCAGAATGGCCATCATCAAAAAATCTACAAACAATAAATGCTGGAGAGGGTGTGGAGAAAAGGGAACCCTCTTGCACTGTTGGTGGGAATGTAAACTGATACAGCCACTATGGAGAACAGTATGGAGGTTCCTTAAAAAACTAAAAATAGAACTACCATACGACCCAGCAATCCCACTACTGGGCATATACCCTGAGAAAACCATAATTCAAAAAGACACATGCACCCCAATGTTCACTGCAGCACTATTTACAATAGCCAGGACATGGAAGCAACCTAAGTGTCCATCAACAGATGAATGGATAAAGATGTATATATATTCCATATATACAATGGAATATTACTTGGCCATAAAAAGGAATGAAATTGGGTCATTTGTAGAGATGTGGATGGACCTAGAGTCTGTCATACAGAATGAAATAAGTCAGAAGAGAAAAACAAACATCGTATATTGACACATATATGCGGAATCTAGAAAAATGGTACAGATGAACCTATTTATGGGGCAGGGATAGAGACGTAGATGTAGAGAATGGATGTGTGGACACGGGTGGGGGAAGGGGAGGGTGGGATGAATTGGGAGATTAGGATTGATGTAAATACACTACCATGTGTAAAACAGAGAGCCAGTGGGAACCTGCTGTATAGCACAGCGAGCTCAGCTTGGTGCTCTGTGATGACCTAGATGGATGGGATGGGGGGAGGAGGAGAGGGAGGTCCAAAAGGGTGGGGATGTATGTATACATAGAGCTGATTCACTTCATTGTACAGCAGAAACCAACAGCACTGTAAAGCAACTATACTCCAATAAAAAATATATAAATAAATACAAGTTTAAAAAAGTAATGTATCACATACCCTTCAAGAGTTAGTGATCTGTCTCAAAGTCTTGAGATATATTTAAAAGTCTATCAACGGGGGCTTCCCTGGTGGCGCAGTGGTTAAGAATCCGCCTGCCAATGCAGGAGACACGGGTTTGAGCCCTGGTCCGGGAAGATCCCACGTGCCACGGAGCAACTAAGCCCGTGTGCCACAACTACTAAGCCTGCGCTCTAGAGCCTGCAAGCCACAACTACTGAGCCCGTGTGCCACAACTACTGAAGCCCATGCACCTAGAGCCCGTGCTCCACAATGAGAGAAGCCACTGTAATGAGAAGCCCGCGCACTGCAATGAAGAGCAGCCCCCGCTCGCTGCGATTAGAGAAAAGCCCACAAGCAGCAACGAAGACCCAATGCAGCCAAAAATAAATAAATAAATAAATAAATTTAAATAAAAATATGTTAAAAAAAAAAAAAGTCTGTCAACGACTGCAGAACACATATTCTTTTCAGGTGCCTACGAAGCAAAATAGACCATATGTTGTCAACACACACACACACACACACACACAAACCCGCAACAAATTTAAAGGAACTGCAAGCATATAGAGTATGGTCTCTGACCTTTAAGAGAATCAAACTAGAAATCAGTAACAGAAAGATAGCAGGAAAATCTCCAAACACTGTGAAACTAAACAACACACTTCTAAGTAATACATGGGTCAAAGAGGAAGTCTCAAGGGATATAAAAACAGACATTGAACTGAATGAAAATGAAAATACAACACATCAAAATTTAGCTGTGGGACACAGCTAAAGCAGGGCTGAGAGGAATATTTATAGCACTACATGCTTGCATTAGCAGAGAGGAAAACCCTCAACGCAATAATCTAAGAACCTAGAAAAAGAAGAGCAAAATAAACCTAAAACAATAGCAGAAGGAAGGAGATAAGAAAAAGCAGAAATCTATGGAATAGAAAACAGAAAAACAAGCAGAAAATCAATGAAACAAAGGGCTGGTTATTTAAAAATATCAGTAAACTGACAAATCCCTGGCAAGACTAAGAAACACAGATCACCAATATTTGGAATGAAAAGGGGGACAGCACTACAGACCCTGCAGGCATCAATAGGATAACAAGGGAACAACTACAAACAACTCTAAACACATAACTTTGACATCCTAGATGAAAACGGACCAATTCCTAGAAAAGTGCGAACTATTCCACTCATCCATTATGAAATAGGTAATTTGAACAGTCTGTATCTATTAAGGAAACTGAATTTCTAATGAAAAAAACTCCCCCCACGGAAATTCCAGGTGCAAATGGCTTCACTGGAGAATTCTACCAAACATTTAAAGAAGTAATACAATTCTGAACAATTTCTTCTAGGAAGCAGAAGAGGAGGGTACACTTCCCGATTCATTTTATGAAGCTAGTATTAACCTGACACCAAATCCAACAAAGACAACAAAAAAAGAAAACTACAAATCAATATCCCTCGTTAACGTGGAAGCAAAAATCCTTAACAAAATATTAGCAATTAGAATTCAGCAAGATATAAAAGTAAAACCGGTAAGTGAGCTCAGCAAGGTCACAGGATACAAGATAAATATACAAAATTGATTACATACTAGCGATGGCCATGGAGACACTGAAATTAAAATCACAACACCATTTACAAACACTTAGAAAAGCTCAAACAACTTAAGTGTAAATATAACAAAACATATGCAGAAGCTGTGTGCTGAAAGAAATAAAAAAAGATATATAAATGGTGAGACCTACCATTTTCATGGTTTGAAAGACTCAACATAGTAAAGATGTCATTTCTCCCCAGATTAATATATAGATTTAGCACAATTCCTATCAAAACCCCATCAAGAGTTTTTGTAGAAATAGACAAGATTATTCTAACATTCCCATGAAAATGCAAAGGAACTAGGAGAGCTAAAACAATCTTAAAAAAGAAGATAAAATGGGACAAATCAGTCTATCTGATTTTAAGACCTATTACATAGCTAATAATCAAGACTGTGACATTCGTGGAATGTTAGACACAGGTAACAGAACAGAGGACCCAGAATGATACCCACACAAACACGCTCAACTGATGCTTGACCAATGAGCAAAAGCAATTCAATGGTGGAAGGACTGTTTTTCCAATGAATGGGGCTGGAGCAATTGAACTTTCACAGGC